AAAATCCCCCCAGGCACCGACCAGACCCCGCTGACGCAGCGCGTGGACAGGGCGCGGGGCAGAACCTCGGCCCCCTGCTGCAGGAAGCCGCCCACCGGGAACCAGAGGCTGTTGCCCAGCGTGTACTGGTTCTCCAGCAGCCCCGGCCGCTCCCGCAGGCACGGGTGGGGGTTGTACCACTCGTACGGGCTCAGCCTGGGGGCGTGGGGAGGGTCAGAGGGGGGGATACTGCCCCAGACCGCTCTGGGGTCACCTCAAACCCATCTGGGGTCACCTGAAACCATCTGGGGTCACCTGAAACCATCTGGGGTCACCAAAACCTCATTGGGGTCACTCAAACCTCTTTGGGGTCACCTCAAACCCATCTGGGGTCACCTAAACCCATCTGAGGTCACCTCAAACTCATCTGGGGTCACCTAAACCTCTTTGGGGTCACCTCAAACCCATCTGGGGTCACCATGGGGTCACCTCAAACCCATCTGGGGTCACCAAAACACATCTGAGGTCACTCAAACCTCTTTGGGGTCACCTCAAACTCATCTGGGGTCACCTGAAACCATCTGGTGTCACCTGAAACCATCTGGGGTCACCTCAAACTCATCTGGGGTCATCCTAAACCTGTCTGGGACCACCCCAAACCCTCTGGGACCACCCCAAACCCACCCAGGACCACCCCAAACCCTCTGGGACCACTCCAAACCCTCAGGGACCACCCCAAACCCCTCTGGGGCCACCCCGGGCCTCACCTGGCGGCCAGGAAGAGCACGCAGCTGACGGCCAGGTAGGCGAGGAGCATGAAGAGCCACACGGCCGGCGAGAAGGGGTCTAGGAAGGAGAAATACCCCGGCTTGCGGCCCTGGGGGGACGCGGTGTGAGACCCCCGAAACCGCCCCCGGAACCACCTCAAAACTGACCCCAAAGAGCCCCCCGAAAACAGCCCCGGATCCAGCCCGAAAGCGCCCAGAGAGCGCCGCAAAAACGCCCCGAAACAACCCCAAATAACCCAAAACCACCACAAAATGACCCCAAAACTACCCCAAACAACCCAAAACAACACAAAACCACCCCAAATAACCCCAAATAGCCCAAAAACACCCCAAACCACCCCAAAACTGCCCC